TGGTAATAGATCAGTGGCATTTTGTCTCAGCTATAATATATAAAAAAGTTTTTGTGGTGTAGTGAAAAGTGTATTGTGTCTGCAGATTTTATTTGGATAGATGAAAAGGTTCTGCTGACCTTTGCATTTACAGGAAGAGACAGGAGTGGTCTGTATCTGATATCAAGAATGAGAGCACGTGTGTAACACCAACAACGCCCCGAGTGGTGGGTCTTTACATCAGGCCAGTCTGGGCCAGTTTCCAGCTACCAACCGCCATCAGCTGGTGGTGACAAGTCTATTCTGGGACTTGGGGAGATCTGAAACAGCAGAAGCAGACTCCTAACCAGGAAATAGCTCAGATACAAGGTCTCTGTTATCTATTTTAGTCAACTTTACTTCTTATTGCTTATAGTTTGGGGTTTGTGCAGTTTCTGTTAATAACTGAAACCAAATTACACTGGATTAGCATTATCCATATGACAGTTAGACTATTCAATTCAATTCAATTCAATTCAATTTATTTATATAGCGCCAAGTCACAACAGAAGTCATCTCAGGGCACTGCAGGGCATCTCAGGGCTAATAACCCATAACATAATAAAACAAGTGTAATGAATGAATTGTGGAGTTTTAACTGTAATTACAGTTTTATTTTCCAGCACCTAAAGAAAATGTAAAATTTGTACACCCAAGTCCCAAAGCAAAAACTAAATCTCTGTATGGTGACTGCTAGACAACTGATGCATGCTTTTATTTTGTAGTGAAGGCTGACGTACCGAAGTGCTTCAGTATCTTGAATAAAAATGTATTCAGTGTTGTGTTGATGCTGGTATAAAAATATATATTGAGCATGTGGGAAAATGAATAGTCACATAAGCCTGATTATTAGTTAATTATCACCCACAGCCACATGTTAGACAATAATATATTTGCCTATGCTTAGATGTGTTAGCATTTTTTTTTTAATAAACCAATTTCTAAAAGTTGTAATAAAACTCTAAGAAAGTAATAAATTAAAATGTGTGGTTACCAGAGCTAATTAAGCATAAAAAACACACAAAAATTGCTTTAAATCTTACACTATTACAAGCATGTAGCTAAAATTGGTGTGCCAGTAGGTGAGAGTCATTTCAAACCAAAGGGTTGAGCAAAGTATTTGCTTAAAACTTTGACATCAACTGTGGAAGTCAACTCTGTTTTTTAGTCAAGTATCTCATGAACAGCTTGACAAATTTTAATGACATTTTCAGTCATTTGTCTTTGGATGTACAGTGGTGCTTGAAAGTTTGTGAACATTTTTTTATATATATATTTCTGCATAAATGTGAACTAAACCATCATCAGATTTTCACACAAGACCTAAAAGTAGATAAAGAGAACCCAGTTAAACAAACGAGACAACATATTACACTTGGTCATTTATTTATTGAGAAAAATGATCCAATATTACATATTTGTGAGTGGTAAAAGTTTGTGAACCTTTGCTTTTACTATCTGGTGTGACACCCCAACATGTAATATTGGATCATTTTCCTCAATAATAAATGACTTAAGTGTAATATTTTTGTCTCATTTGTTTAATTGGGTTCTCTTTATCTACTTTTAGGACTTGTGTGAAAATCTGATGATGTTTTAGGTCGTATTTATGCAGAAATATAGACAATTATAAATAATTCACAAACTTTCAAGCACCACTGTATGTGCCAAATGTTAATGGGTTGAGCAAAGCCTTTGCTTAACACTTTGGCATTGACTGTGGGAGTCAACTCTGTTTATTTTTAAGTCAAATATCTCATGAACAACTTGACAAATTTTTATGAAGTTTTCTGTAAATTTTCTTTAGATGTACCATTACATCTATACCTGAATCACTTGGAGTCTGATCAGTTCAAGATGGCCATTGCAACTTAGCAACCTTAGCCAAGATAAAATCTCTAACTTGTCAGTTTTAAAGATATTTAACCTATAGTTTGATGTGGCAAAGACCCTAGCAATCTTATATTGTGAGGCGTGAGAGGGCAATCTGCATACGCCAGTCTGCAAGTTTACAGAACACCTCAACTTTATAGCTTGAATCCCACACCCTGTTCTTTGAATTGAGGAAGCTCCTCAGATGAGAAGTGAAATGTCTTCAGCTACAGAATAGAAGTCCAGTTGTTTTTGTCTTTAATCTTTTTTGGATTTACCATGTCAGAGTCAGAGTCAGAGTTTCTTTATTGTCATTCGCACCTCATGTGGTACATGTGGTGGAGCGAAATTATGTACACAGGGTCCCAGTTACATCCAACAATAAAATGTATAAGAAAAACAGTAATAACATCTAAGATATGAACTAAGAAAAACATCAACTAAATATACACTAAGCACTCATAACATAAAACATTGAACATCAGCACAAACATGAACATGAGTCTGTGAGCAGATGTGCACGCATGAACACATCAACATTGAAACAGATCAGCAGCAACACGAAACAGATCAGCAGCAACATGATATGGTTTTTCACAGTGATTATTCTGGTTAGAGATTCATGAGTCTAACAGCCTCAGGGTAGAAGCTGTTCCTCAGTCTAGTGGTTCTACATTTAATGTCCTGGATGACTGAGGATCTTCACCAGCATTCATACAGTGTGAAAAGACAGAGAGATGGTCTGCATTTGTTTATATGGAATGAATGAAATTAATTAATGGGGCACACTTTTTAAATAATATATATTTTAAACTTTAGATTATGGATAAAACATAAAGTATTTTCAAGTAAACAGGTGAAAGTCCATGTCATTGGTGTAAAAGTCAAAGTCAAGTCATAAGTCTCTGAACAATTTTTTGAGTCAAGTCTAAAATCATAATAAAATGACTTGAGTCTGACTCGAGTCCAAGTCATGTGACTTGAGTCCACACTACTGGAATGGTGCAACCTTTTTCACCTTGGTGAATGTGTTGGATGTCAGTTAAAATTGTCTAGTTCCAAACAAAAAAGAAAACAAAAAAGGTTGAATAATAATAATTTGTAACTATATTTCCATGATTGAAATCCTCATTAGTAATTTGCACATAATGTGACCAGCAGTCTTTATCATCGTCAGCCAAACTGCCACATGTCAATGATTAAGTACTTGTTTCATAATGCAGAATGCCTTTTGTTTCGAATGAATCAACATTCCTACTTGAGCCTCGAGTCTCAGCCTTCTGCACTGTTTGACATGAATGACGGCCGGGCTTCATCAAACGTGCTGTCGGTGGAGTATTTATGCAAATAGCCAAGGGCATCAACTCAACGTCTAACAAAGGAAACTGTCAACCTAAATGTTTAACAGGAATGCAGTTTAAGACAACATTACTTAATGTTTTAGCTATGGCTCTGACTAAATCTGAAGCCATGGTTTGCTTTTGTTTGTATAATAAAGCTGTACAAAGCTTTTAAATTGAATGAAAGTCAAAGAACGTTTGCCATATGCTAACACTTTACAACAATGGACCGTTTGTTAAAAAAATAGGGTTTTGGTAAATGAGAGTTAGTGCAGCTGTCTGTTGCTTCTCCATCGTTGGTTGAAAAGCGGACATGTGTGTCTCTCTCAGACTTGTCTCATTTCAGTTGACTGTTACCATAGCAAACAAAAGCAAAACACAGTTTATACGTGCAATGGTGTGGTTTCAAACTGCAGCAGAAGGAACACAGTAATCCTTTACCACTCATTCACTGCCACTATAATTTTGTACGTAGATCCCTGTTTGAGTGTAAATGTGTACTCTGGTCCGTGAACACGTGCTCTTCGGCTTTAACCAGCAGTTGTCAGTTTTCTTTACAGTCCTCCTGACAGCGAGGGGACCCTTTCTCTGACAGTGAGAGACGAACAGGAGACAGATGGACAGAAGAGAAAAACGATCCAGGGAAAGACATCGGATATCATGTTCCAGGGAGAGCAGAAAAGCAGAGCTATAATGCACAGTACTTTATATAGTTGTGAAAAACAGATTCCTGGTTCCGAAGCAGAGACTAATGTTAGCCGTCTGAAGCAGCAGCACAACTTTAGCACCGTTTACAGCTGGTTGCATCACTTTAGTAAGCTGCATGGAGTCGTAGAGTATGTCACCTTCTTTTCTTGACCCTAAAATGATGCATGTATTAATAGAAGCAAAGTAAATGTTAGCTTTGTGAGAGCGAATAATAACTGTCATTTCATATCCGCTCTATGTAAAGCATTACTTAATGTGTTCACCTGTTTTGTAGTAGGTTTAATCAAGTTTAAACTCCAAAAACGATGACTCTTTTTGTGATACTTGACCTGGAAATGTATCAAACAGGACTCCTTTCACTCTTGCTTGTACATACAGTTAGTCACCCCAGGTGTGGACAGAAGCATACCAACTGTTCACTTCATTTTCTCCTCACCCATATGTGTGTAGAACATTAACTGGATTGTTGTTGGACACATAAGGTGTGTGCCAGCCGGCTGTACAGTAGTGAGCGTTTGGTGGTGTGTATTGAATTAAGGGGCGTGTACTTTCTCGGGTGTGTTGGTGTCACTGTAAAAGTCAGAGCAACAGAACATGTGCTTGTGCACGCTCGTTTGACTTTGCTCTGTTTCTATTTTCATCAGATTATTACACAAACTTTTTTTTTCTTTTTCTTCCTGCTTTACTGTCTTTGGTGATATTTTTTTTCCGTCTTTTAAATTTTTTTCCCGAAGAATAAGAGACAGGGAGGTGGAGCCGGACTGAGAAGTGTGCCACACTCCCTCCCTCCCTCTTTCATACACGCTGCCTGTACTTCCATTCTGTCATTGCCATCTCGGCAGAACAGACTGCTCATTCCCTGCTACACTAAATGTAGAAGGGACACAGCACACATCTGACCTTTGTGAGAAGAGTTTCGTTTTCTCCACAACTAAAGGATCAACAAGAACACAAGGAAGAGACAGTAAGGAAAAGAAAACTTTGCTCTTTAGATTTTTTTTTTTTTTATTGTCATTGAGAATCATTTTAAAACTTGATTTGTTGGATTCCTTCACATCATACGACAAGACTTTCATTTAACTTAGTTTTGAGTTATCTATTTTTTATTTTGTCTTGATAAAGTTTACTTACTTGAGCCACAATGGTTGCTGGCATGCTGATGCCCATGCGGGACCTTAAAGCCATCTATGAAGTCCTGTTTCGAGATGGTGTTATGGTGGCCAAGAAAGACAAAAGGCCCCAAACAAAGCACCCTGAGGTACAAAGTGTGAGCAACCTGCAAGTAATCCGTGCAATGGGCTCTCTTAAATCCAGGGGTTATGTGAAGGAAACTTTTGCTTGGAGACATTTTTACTGGTACTTGACCAATGATGGTATTGTTTACCTGCGTGACTACCTCCACCTGCCCACCGAGATTATTCCAGCCCCACTGCAGAGGATCAGGAGGCCAGCTGCCAGTCTACCTGCACATCGCACTGCTCAGGTCCAATCTGTACAAGGCCCAACGTCTTACGTTCCCAAACCAGGACGCAGGGATGAAGCAGAGAGCCAGGAAGCACTGGCTGAGCGCCAAGACTACCGCCATAAGATCATGGGCATTGGAGAACAAGAGAGATTCCCCGATAGGACCTCCAGATTCAGGGGTCGTCCACCGAGTGATGAACTAATGAGGCCAAAACCAATGCTGGAGGTTCAAGAACAGCATCAACCTCTTTACAAGAGGGGTACTAACTTCAACCGTGAATTAATGTCCACTGAGGAGAAAGTAGTAAAAAAGGTCACTCTTCAGGAGCCAAATATAAAACCTGAAAGACCAGGTGCATTAAAAGAGAGAAGAGTGATGGAGGCTGAAAAGAAAAAGGCACCACGTTTTGTTCCTGTACAGTCAGAGGCTGAGAAACACGATGGATCCCAGACTGCTCTGATCTCCTCTGCAGCAGCCTTACTAATACCTGCGGCTGCTGTTGGTGTGGCTGCAGGTGCTGCCACATCAAAGATTACAAGCAGATCATCTGCTGACACAAATAAACAGATAAAGAACAAAGACATGCCCAAGATTGCTGGTGAAAACGTTTCCTTTAAGGTTAGTGAAGAGATTACGACCAGTTTACCTAAGACAGAGCGTTCATATGTAGAAGTGAAAGAAGAAGAAACTAAAGTTACAGAGATCAGTATCTCAGGTAAAATGGCTAAAAAAATTCCTAAACCAAAACCTGTTCCTACAGTGGAGTCTGCTCAGGAATCCTCCAAAGACTTTACCAGCCCTGTCACCACAGCTGATGGTAAACCTGCTGATGTCAAAGATGGGAAGCTGAAGAAAGAAAAGCCTCATGAGGTTCCAGTTAAACTCACTGAGAAGAAGACACAAGTCCAAGTGAAATTTAAAACTGACAGTGATATTAAAGACAAAAATGACACAGTAAATAAGAAGAGCACCGAATTCAAACTCGAGAGCAGCACCAGTGACCCAGTGGATTATGCGAATGCGCTGCAAAGCAGCTCCATTGTTAAAGTGAATCAAAAACCAGTTCATGCTGAAATCATTGCACCAAACCTGACTGGAAAGCCCGAAACTGATGAGGTTTCTTTCATAAAGAAAACAGCAAGTGCGCTCTCAACACCTGAGGTTAAATATGATACTGTAACTGTCTCAGCATCTCAGGGCAAGCCTGAAAATCCACAACCTGTGACAGAGAAACTTACAGGAGTCAAAATCATCACAGAACAGGAAGACATTAGTGTAAAGGAAATTTCACATGCCCAAAAAGATGAAAGTGTGCCACCAGGAGATGTTCCTGCTGTAAAACAGGAGCAAGAAACCATTCATTCATCTCTGTCAGCTCAAAGTGCTGTTATCACAGAGGCAGCTGATGACAATAAACAAGTCACTGAAGCAACATCCAAATCAAAGAGAAAGAAAAAGAAGTCCTCAAATGACAAATCCAAGAGTGCTAATACTGAAGAATTGCCTCAGTCAAAGATGGAGAAAGAAAAAAACTCTCAGGGCACCTCTTTGGTGGGAGTGACTGAAAATACCACCCCACCTACACCAGTTATTAAATCAGAGCCTTTAACTGTGTCTTCCTCCATGAAGACACCAGGGGGAAACAAGGCTGGAGCTAAAGTAGATGATAACAGGGAACATAAAAAAGAAATACCCAAACAAGCTGATGGGATGCTGAAAGAGGAGCCACTTAAAAAAACTCAATCTGCATCAGCAGAAGCATCACCTCCATCAGGTGAGACACCTGCAGCCTCCACTGAGCATGTGCAAAGAAAGAGGACTGATAGCAATACCACACAGGAGTCTGTATCTCCCAAAGGTAAACTAAAGGCTATTCCTGACGTGGAACCAGTGAAATCGGAGGAGGTGACTGTGAGAAAGGAAACAATGATGCAGAAAACAAGTCAAACTGAGCTCATGCAACTTGAAGAGAAACCCCCAAATACAGAATCTCAAAAATCAACTGAGTCTAAAAAAGTAGAAAGTGTGGAAAAAGCTACAGAGGAACCCTCAAAGGGAAAGAAAAAAGGAAAAGGTAAAAGAAAGGCTAAGCAGTCACCAGAATCAGAAACTATAAACATGAAACCTGCCACAGAAAGACTGCCATCCTCTGACATGGCACTGCCCAAGGATGCAGGTAAAGATAGCCCTGTTCTGGCCTCTGCACTGACAGACGCTAAAGCTCCTTCAAAGATGACTTCTGAAAGAATTTGCAGCGAGGAAGTCAGTCAGGCAGCAGCTGTGCTCTCTGAGGCCCCAACAGACAAAGGAGAGGAGGAGCTAGCAGCGCTCTCTGCAGAAAAAAACAAGCGGGAGGTTCCAAAACCAGAAACCTCTTCCAATGTGAGGAAAGTACCCATAGATTTAACGTCAGCAGCACCAGCAGAGGCAGCTGCGGCACAGGCCAGCCCTCTTGTCAAGCAAGAGGAGCCTCCCAGAGTTGCACAACATTCGGCCAGTCAGGCAGCAGAGCGCAGCACACAGGAAAGGCTCTCTGTTTGTGAGGCCTCAAAGCACCAGGAAGACAAGAAGAGGGACTTGAAAGAGGACACACCCTCTGCTACTGCCACACCTGTAGCCCAGCCTGACCAGCCTCACCTGGGGGACACCTGCGAGTCCACTAAGCCTGACACAAACGAGGCCACCATGAGGAAGAAAATAGTGGTGGTGGAGGAGATAGTTGAAGTAAAGCAGGTCCTCAGTCCTCAGGCAGCCGGTGAGCAGCCTGCCCCTCCACCTGTCCAGACTCAGGTAGAGGAGGATGAGCTGGACCTGGATGTTCTGCAGGAAATCGCTTTAGAGCGAGCTCTCTTGGCAGGGGCAGCGGGGCTCAAGGTGCAAGGAGCCTCACCTGAGACTGGATGGGACCACTCGCTGGAGGAGCCAGAGGAGAAGATGTGGCCCAACTTCATTGAAGGTTTGTTTGAAAATTACTGACCTACTTCCTGTCTTGTCCTGATCCCTGCATGCACGTGATGCAGTTGCTCTTTCATTTTGATTCCCACCTTCCTTTGAACTATGGGAGGTCTCAGGTAGTTTAATGACAGCTCTACTATCATTGCTTTACACCACTGTGAACTTGTTTTTTTGTTTTGTTTTTCAAACCGTAACATTCCCGTTCTGTACATGTCTTTGACGTTTCTCCAAAGTGTTATTTAGGATGATTTAAAGTGCCAGAGTTGCACATTACAGAGGCTTTGGTTCAGGATGTGGAGACGGTCTCTCTTTAGGAATCGCTTCAATATGAGAAGTGACTATTGACATGTGGCTGTGATTTAGTCATGAGGCTGTTGAAATAGATGAAACCTTATTTGCGCTGTTGTAATCTTGACAAAGATTTCAAACACAAAATGTGCCTTCGTTTCCACTGGACTAAAGTTAATGGTTCGATTTCAAAACAGAGAGAATTAAACTAACATGGAGTCTGTTGTGTTTCCTGCTTTTCAGAACAGTTATTTTCCATTTTGAATCTGATCACATTGCTTAAAGTTCCTCTTTCTGGGTGGAGAATCTATTTGTTTTGGCCGAGAGTTATAAGCTCTGCCTAGAAGAGTAATCTCTGGAGATATCTCTGAGATATCGCTCATTTGCTCAAGTGATTATGCACACATCAGTCCAACAAGGTGGGGCTGTTTGCAGACATTCAGCCTTGCTGGTTCTCTGCAGAGGCAGTTGTGCAGCCCAGTCAAACTGGGAGGAAGGTGTGGCACTTTTGGGAGTTTTGCTTCAGTATTGCTGTGTTCTTGGCTCTGGTTAACATTCTGCGGTTGTTTTTCTTCTTCTCTCAGCCTGGTATTTATTAGAGATAAGTGTTCTGCCTGCATGACATTATGCAATGATAAGTAAAGGATATAGAAGGCAGTGTGATAACGCTTTTAAAATAATATCTACCTTCACTGGAATAGAGAAGTGAAAGTTGCAGCAAACCCAGAGTCGGATGCCACAGTGTTGTTGGTTTAGCCAAAGATAAATGAGCGTTCATATTTTAGATTATATGTAATAACTATGAATGTTTTAAAGTGGAAAAAGTTACTTTCACAACAATTTGAATCATTTTGCAGCTCTGAGTGTATGTGATGAGCTGCATGGGTGTTGCCTGTTGTGGGTGTAAGCTGCAGCAGCCTGAGTCAGGAAGTTGAGTTGTTCGCAGCTTCATGGGTGTGTTTGTTAGGATCCACACGTGACGGCAGGTCTGGTTTCTATTACCAGTCTGGCTTCTTCATCCTGTGTTACTCATTGTGAAAATAATCTTCATTTTGCAGCGAGAAGGAAACACTTTAACTTGCAAACACAAAATAACCTTATTAATCAAACACATCTTTTATTTCTAACTAAATATTAGCAGGTTTAAAAACATCTTTATTGAACTGATAACACATATATGATTCATGTTATCAGACTGGAGTTCTGTCAAATGTTTGCATGCAGACGCTGTAGTGCTGCTGTAGTGCCATCTGCTGTCCATGAACCATTTTCATGTTTCACTTTGGCCAAATGCTTCAACTTCAGTCACAATTACTGTGTATTAAAATGTATAAATGGTATGTTGCAAAAATGCAATGTGTGCTTCTCAACGTCTTTCCTCACATTTGATGCTTGGTGTTAGATAAGTTTGTGCTTTCTGAGATTTTTTTTTTTTGTGGTTATTCTCCAAGTGTTAGTTAATTAAGTGGCTGTCAACAGACTTAATTTTAATTTGGTACGTCTTTGTTCCAGTTTCGTTTTGAGTTCTTGTGTATTTGTAAAATGAACTGGAAGAAGAAAATGATTTTATTAAATATGTGGCGTGCCTCATCAAATGTTTCGTTAAAAATGTTACACCATGTTGCATTTCAAAGAAATCTTTTGACTTTGCATGTGGCACTTTTGTATTTCCCTGCAGACAGAAAGAAAAAAATCAGTTTAAATATAAGGTTTAAAGTTTTGGAATGACCGGCCTTGCTCGAAGGGGCGGTTAACCTTTGCCCACACATGGCACCAGAGGCAATTAAACAAAATCACATCCCAGACATGCCTCTGAGCTCCTCCATGCTCTCCTCTATGAAGCTGTGCCCGCTGCAAACAGGGTGTGATTGAAATGAGCAGCTCCAGTGTGCTGCAGCTCTGCGCCTTTCATTATGGAGGGCTGTCATTTTAATGTGACTCACTCTGGCCATTCTTAAATCACGGAGCTAGAAGTCAGAGTCTGACCTTTTTTTAACAAAAGAGATGAGAAATGAGGAACAAAATGAAAGTCTTAACTCATTCTGTTCATAAGTTGTGATTTATCAAACTAAATAAATCTCCTGCTGTTCTTCCTGCTTCTGGCCAGCACTAATGTTTTGCCATAAACAAACTGAGGTGACCTTAGCTGCGGTGCTGTATCCTTTACTGCTGACTGGTTGGGAAATCACTTCTTGTATTTTATTATGAGTCAGAACATAGCAGTCTACATTTCAGAAACTGGGGCATATAAGCAAACCAAGTGAACACTTTGACAGACAGTGAAATATACTACAGTATCGCTGGAAACAGAATAAAACTGAAGTATAAGTATACATGCAACATGCTATAGAGCAGGCCCCCAAAACAGAAGAACTGGTAACATATGGAGAATAATAAAGGTTTGGTCTAAATAGTTCTGCTATTAGTCATTTCCCAAGATACATATTGAAGAGGCTGACTAACATAAAAGTTCAGTGTGAAGAAAAACTGAAGGGCGGCTGATAATTTTCCTGAACTTCATCAAACACAGTCGACAATGGGCTTTCCTGTCTGTATTTTCTTTAAGCACATCGTTCTCCAACTGTGGTACAAGTACCACCGATGGTACTCAGGATTTAACTAGTGAAGAAATAAATGAAAATGCACAGAAGCAAAACAAGGGAGGAGATTGTCATCATCATATGTTCCCATACAATGGTGAAATTAGTTCTTTGCATTTAACCCATCACACCTGAGATACATCCAGGTGGAGCAGTGGGCAGCTATGTGAACGACCGGGGAGCAATTAGGGATTAGGTGTATTGCTCAAGGACACTCTGACATGTGGGAATGGCTGGGAGTCGAACCATGACTTTCTGGTCCCACGTCAGCTGCCCTACCTGTACCCCATCTCGGCCCCCAGAGGACTGGACGTCTTTGGTTTTAGTAGTTCTGAGAAGAAATTCTGATAACTATTTATGTTAAATGAGCAATCAGAAACATAAAAATATAAATTAATAATGGTTGCAGCAAATACCAGTCTGGACTTCAAATGAAACTTTAAATAAAACTGAGATAAATGTTGTTTTGAGAATCCCTGTGTGAACGATGATTAACTGGTGTGACAGTGGTTACCTCATCACCACATATCACATGTTGTTAACATATAACATGCTAACAACAAAAGTTACAAAACAGCAAGGACATTTGTTGATCTCAACTTTTAAAAGGAAGAGCCAGGACCATAATGCTGTCTCCAGTAATTAATGCTTAGAACCATCAGATCTTTAACCAGGACACCAAATGGTTCCCACTGAATCAGTCCAATGACCAGAACTATTTCAACTCAGGACAGGAAAGGCACAGGCTGGCACATGTTAGTCAGGATCATATCCCATTAGTTGAGCTCAAGAGTGAAAATATAATGTTTTTTAAATGATCAAGTTTATTAAGTGATCAAGATATCACCTGGTTCATTGTTAAACAGGTTTTTATGTTTGTTGTTGTACAAAGTACTGATTTGTATTGCCTGTCATACTGATGGTAAAGTTTTAATATTTTCTGAGGTGGTTCTTGTTCTTAATGGTTTAAGATATTTTAAGTGGGACATTGTCTGACGTCTGATTGTGTATTTGGGAGGAGCGGGGTGTAAGGTTTGATTACTTCGATGCATCCTCAAACATTTGTCCATATGTGTGCCCCAACATGAATGAGCATGCGCGTGAAGTTGTTTTCATTTTGTGGGTGTGAGGAACATGCGTGCCATCATCTCCAGTCCCCTGTCATATGGATGCCTTTCATCGCAGGATTTCCATTTTTAGCAGTATTGTTTCACTCAAAGAGAAGCCCTTCCTAGTCCTCACATGAAGAAAACAGCGTGGAAGTATTTTTAGCAAATGGAGCAAATTGTCAACGCTACAATTGTCAAAGCATTATGTCTAATAGAAGTCTCTATACTTAGAGAATGTTTAGCGTTGGTGTAATCCCAAAGCAGCAGGTGATGAACTTCAGGGGCCATGCTGTCAAAGTATCTGTCTCCAAACCCCGTATGAGGCTGCTTTGATAGAGTAAACATCCCATCTGTGTTCGTTCTCCATTTTTTTTTTAACATTTATGGTTGTTGCTGTTCTTGTTTATCGTTCCTGCCAAAGCTTGTTCCAGTAATGATGCTGAAAGTATCAAATTTAACTTGTCGCTTCTGCATCCAGGAATCATGTTCGTAAACAAACACTAACACATTGACAGGAAAAATGGCCCCAGAACAAGTGGTAAAAGCAGCATCATGTCAATAATACGTCACATAAAATAATTAAGGCCACTCTTTAATATGCCAAAGAGAGCTGAGCTGTAATGTGAGGTTTCTCTGGCTGAGATCTGGTGTCAGATCTGACCTGCTGTCGTCATCTTCAAAGCAATGAGCTGAGAGGTACAGAGGGAGGGGTGGTCTATCTGTGTTGGGGGTGGGGGTGGGGGGGGGGGCAGTCTATGGCAGAGTGCTGCCAGATTCCTGCCATCAGTTTCTAACTGTGTCTCTGTGATCTGGTTCTATTGGATATTTATAGCCTGTCAGCTCCAACCCTCCTCCTCTTCGTCAGCTGCCCACCCCTCTCAGCTCTCGTTGCCCCTCGTCCTGCCCCTTATCCCAGGCTCAACGTGTCATCCCTCCTCCCCTGACTATGGGGGAGCAGGTTGATGGATCCAAGCAGCAGGCACAGCCTGTCAAAATCTGAGGCA